CCCCATATTCCCTGTCCTCCCATCACCCACTCCACTACAAATAACAAAATTTCTTGTTTAAAGAATAAAATACAGTAAGTTTAGTTGGACTAACAGAGAATTCTCTACAGCATACAGAAATATTCAAAGAAAAACATAATTAAAAGTTGAAATTTCTAAGGATGGAGAGATGGGCCAGTGGTTAAGAGCACTTACTGCTCTTGCAGAAGACCAGGTTCAGTTCCCAACTTTGGTTATAGGGGACCTGACACCCTCTTCTGGCCTCCATAGACACCAAGCATGTGTGTGGTGTACATACACGCTGGCAAAGAGTCATACACATAGAATAAAAATAAATAATCTTAAAGAACAGAAGTAATAATGATAAAATTCAGATTTCCCAGTAAAGCAGCAGCTCTAGTGGGCTCACATATGAACACCTTCCATTTTTAATTATATATATACATATATATGTATATATTAAAATGGCCTTGACGTGTGAAATTGCCAAAGAATAAAGATTTTAAAACTGGTTTGAGATTCCATCTCACAACCCAGGGAAAATAACTGTCAGAAAGGAAAAAAATGACAGCAAATACTGGTGAGGATGTGGGGAAAGAGGAACCAGTATTTGCTGCTAGTGGACATGTAAATTTGTGCAGCCACTATGGAAATCAGTGTGGTGGGCCCTCAAAACACTGGAAATAGAATTACCACATGACTCAACTGTACCATTCTTTGGCATATACCTCTAAGCTAACATACCACAGAAATCCTTGCACATCCATATTGATAACTGCACTGCTCACGGTAGCCGAGAAATGAACCCAGCCCAGAGGCCCATCAACAGATGAATGGATAAAGAAAATGTGGTATATACCCATACACAATAGAATTTCATGCAGCCATAAAGAAAATGAAGTCATGGCATTTGCAAGAAAATAGATGAAACTGGAAATCACTATACTGTGTTTTTCCTCACATGCAGAATCTAGATTTTAAATATATATATGAAAATACATAGGTGTGTGTGTGTGTGTGTGTGTGTGTGTGTGTGTATAGATCATGAAACTAGAGAAGGGATCATTAGAGGGAGGAAAAGTTATTAAGGGAGGGGGTAAATGAGACAGCAATGAAATCACATGACATGAAAATGCAGAGGAACTATCTAGAGAAAGCAGAAGAATAAGGGGGGACCGGAAGTGGGGGAGGGCAGCAGGGGAGGGCAATGGGTAAGAGCAGTGTGTGAGGACTCCTATAAATGAAGATGCTATGATGAAATGCATTACTTTTATTAGAATTTATTTTGGTCTTTTTGAGACAGGGTCTCCCTGTAGCCACAGATAGCCTGGAATTCACTATGTAGGTCAGGCTGACCTTGAACTCACAGAAATCCATCTGCCTCTGCCTCTGGAGTGCTGGGATTAAAGGGTATGCCACCATGCCCAGCATAACTCATTATATTTTATGCTAACCTAAACAGCCACCTGTAACTTCAATTCCAGGGACTCCAACAACTTCACCTGACCTCCAAGAGCAACTGCACACGTGTATAAGCCCCCCCACATACATACATACATATATACACACAATTAAAAATAAAATAAAATAGGTCACATCATTTAAAAAACAGTTAAAACACTGTAAAATGTACAAGAGCAGTGATTCTCCAGGTGTGGTCTGAGGAGCCCCTGGACTTTCCAGATGTCACCAGTGTGTTTTCAGAACAATGATACTGACATATCATTTTTCCTTTATCTCTCTCATCCTCCCAAGAGTGTTCAGTAGACCTTTCTGTAGGTTACATGAGCTGTGCATCACAGTAGTTTGAACACAGAAGCGGACAAGAGAAGCCAATGAATTCTCCTGAGTCATACAGTGAAGAGGTCAGCAGGAAGGGAAGGTAAAGCTAAATCTTCTCATTTATTTTTGTTTTGGAAAATAATGTTGCTTTTTTCATTAAATTATGCCATTTGTAGTAGTGATTAATTCATTGCCATTATTTTTAATGAATAAATATATTAAATGTCTAAAGTTTTAGTTTCTTATTAATGACAAAGCTCAATTGTTATAACCTCCAAAGCTAGATCTTTGGGGTTCTCCATAACTTTAAGAATATAAGTTAGGAATAGGAGGCTGGGCATGGTGGTGCACACCTTTAATCCCAGCACTTGGAGGCAGAGGCAGGCAGATCTCTGTGAGTTCAAGGCCAGCCTGGTCTACATAGTGAGTTCCAGGCCAGCTGGGGCTACAGGGAGACCCTGTTTCAAAAGACCAAAACAAAAGTTAGGAATGGAGTATGAATATTATCAAAATATATTATATGAAATTCTCAAAGAATTAATATTTTTAAACAAAAATTTTTAACTGGGCATAGTAGCACATGCATTTAATCCCAGCACTCGGGAGGTAGAAGTAGGTAAATCTCTGTGAGTCTGAGGTCAGCCTGGTCTACAAAGCATGTTCCAGGCCAGCCAGGGCTACGTAGTAAAACCCTGTTACAAAAAAAATTAATATGAAACGTATCTGATACCCAAAACAATTGAGAAGCATTGTTCTATAAAAAGAGCCTATATTTCACAAATAACAATAAAATTATAATAATTTTGATCTTAACTTAAGGTGTGTGTGTGTGTGTAAAGGTCAAAGGTTGATGTTGAGAACCTTCCTCCATTGCTCTCGGTCTTATTTTTGAGGCAGGGTCTCTCAGGAACCTGGAGATCACTGATTCAGCTAGTCTAACTGGCCAGTGAGCTCCAGGGATCCACCTGTCTCCTCTCCCCTAGTGCTAGTGTTAAGCACAAGCTGCTGAGTCCAGCTTTTGTGTGGGTGCTAGAGATCCAAACTTAGCTCCTTGTATGTACTCAGCAAGCACTTTACCAGCTGAGCCATCTCCCTAGCCTCCTAAGTTTACATTTAAAAACTGTTTTAATGCTCAGAGAAATGGCTCAGTTAAGAGTGTGTACTGCTCTTGCAGAGGACCCAGTTAAATTCCCAAAATCCACATATCAGCCGACAACCACCTGTAATTGTAGTTCTAGGGGATCCATCACCCTCTTCTGGCCTCCACAGGTACTGCACACTCATGGTGCACTTATACAAATGCAGGCAAAACACATATACACTTAAAAATAATAAATCTTTAAAAATTTTGTGTTGATCAGAGTGATGGCTCAGTGGTTATGATTAATTACTGCTCTTGCAGAGTACCCAGGTTTAGTCACAGCACCCACATCAGGTAGCAGGTGGTTCACAACAGCCTGTGCCTTCCAGGCTCTGTAGGCACCTGCATGCATGTGGTGCAAATAAATTCACACAGGCACAAAAATATATAGATAAATTTTTAAATATTTGTTTAATTTTTTAAAAAATATTTTATTTATTATTTTTATTTTATGTGTATGAGTGTATTGCCTGCATGTATGTGAGTGCACCCACATCATTCAATGCTGTGGAGGTCAGAGGAGGGCATCAGATTCCCCTGGAACTGGAGTTAAGGATGATTAGTAGCTGCCATGTAGGTGTTGGGAATTGAACCTGGGTCCTCTGCAAGAGCAGTCAGTGCTCTTAACCACTGAGCCATCTCTCCAGCCCCATATTTGTTTAATTTTTAATGAGTGGCTAAAATGAAAATTTGAGTTAAAATTGAAATATTTCAAAGAAGGCAAATTCAAATGGTATAGTTTCACTTTTGATGCCATGACCCAACTGGAAAATAAAACAAATAAACTAGAAAACACAAGAGCAACAGATATCAACATGAGACTACAAATCCCCAAAAATAATGAAAGTGAAGAAAACACAGTTTTTCTTAAACAATGAAAATGAAGAGACATAAGATACAAAAAGTACCACAAAAAACATAAGCAAGTTCCCTGGGATAAATCGCTATTACCACAAGAAAGAAAAAAAAAAAACATAATTGATATAGAAAGACAAAATAGAATGATAAAATGTTTAATTAAAACCAGGGAAAGCTACACTCATCAAAGAGTCCATGGGGGAGTCGGTTACCCCTCCCACCGAATCAGTGGACCTTAGCTGCATATGGGAGAGGAGCTAAGGACATATGAGCTGAGAATGCCATGAGGCACCTCTCTCACCATTTGTCACAGGATATATATTTGAGTGTGGACTTTCTAGCACAGCTGTAAATGGGGGGGGGGGTGCTCTTCTGTAAATAAACCCAACCTTATGTTCTGTCAGTAAGCACAATAACTAGTAAGCCCAATAAACTAGTTAGGATTAAAAAAAAAAAAACAGAGCTAATGGAAATCTTCATTATTCCACCAAAGTTGACCCTATGGTGGCAAATCCTTTGGTCTTTGATGTCCTATTCCTATTCCCCTCCCCCTTAAACTTCATTGTATATATATTTTTTAATGTAACCTGTTTCAAGTTATTTATGGAAAAATGTGTTAAAAATTGCCTCTCTTTGGAAAAAAAGAAAAAAAACCAGGGAAAAGCAGAAAAAGAAAGGAAGAAA